CTATATAACTTTTCATTTCGTTTTTTTTTATACCCAACCGTAACAGGGCAATGCTATCTTGTCGTAAAGAATTATTAGGGCTTTACAGCGGACAAATAACTAAAATATTTGCCAAAATTCAAAGGTCGCCAAATTGGTCATATGTCGCCAAATGTCGCCAAATTGGTCATATTTAAAAGCTATTAAACTTTTTTAAAAATGACCAATTTAGCGACATTTTTCCACCTAGATGAAAATTATCAAAATCAATGCCTTATTCTCTTTTTTTGCGAATTTTTATGAACCCTGTTAATGCAGCATTGAAGTCAGTCTGTAAATATTAAAAAATTAGACCACGAACGCGTTTCATTTTCTCAAATTTGTAGCTTTTCTCCATATTGGTCTTTTGCGCCTTTTTCAACTTGACCTATGAGTAGCTGTTGCAAACTCTCAGCAGTTATGAAAATATCATATTATTTTCCTAAAAGTATCCTTTCGGGTGACTATAGAATCTTTGAAAAACAGCCTTAATCAGCAAGGCTGCAGTAGGGTAGTTAAACTCCCGGGAGCCCCGGGGCAAACACACAAAGTACACCTAAATCACTAGAAATCTTATACTTTTAATAAGTAAAGAAATATCTTTTAAACTAAGATAATATTTAAAAATAGCATTATTTCGTATGATTTTCTTAAATAACTTGTTTTTAGAAAATTTGAAATAAATGTAAAAGGGAAACAAAATAGAAGCAATTGAAATTAATACAAAAAAAATTTTTTTGTAAGAATAATTACAAAATAAGAACTTATTATATTTAGAGCCCAATACTGCCGTGCAATTGAAAAAAAACGTAAGTGCTTCTCGATTGATTTTGAGTAAAGAGATTTGACAACTATTTTCCTTCTATTGCTAATGCTATGAACGCTAAAATAGAATGTCAAAGATCTGATAAAACAAAATTTATTTTTGAAAAAAAAATTCTTGCAATATGTAGCTTACCATACAAAGATGCCAAATACATAAAATTCTCAGTTTTGAATTTTTTGCCGCTTACGTTGATTTTTCAATCGCACCACAGAAAAGATAAAAAAGTTATTGAACATAGTAGTAAAATAATAACAATACCATTCTAAATAATTACTATTATTATATACTACTATTACTATTATTAATGACTATTAGATGTTTGTCTCTAGGTTTCTGTTCTGCTTCATTATCAAAAGTTTAATGGGAAAAAAAATTTGAATCAAATTTGTACGTAGTTATATTATAATATTTCGTATTACATTAGTATTCGTTTGTTATTGTTATATTAATATTCGTACATATTATGTTAATATTCGTTGTCGTATCATATTAATATTCGTTTAATTCAATAAGTGTAAATAATAGAAAAAATTTAAAATTTTTGAATTAAATTTAAAAAAAATGTAAATACAAAAATTAAAATAAATTTTATTTTGATGAAATCTGTTTAGCTTTTATACTTTGGGAATCGGGCTCTCCGGGGCACTGCCCCGTTTTCCTCAATGTCAGCTGCGACTCTGCAAAGTCCTATTTAATGGAAGGTGCTATAAGGAGGCATTCCTAACCGAAACGGAAACTAGAACATTCAATGTTGGACACGATCATCAATGTATTGAGGAACCAAAGTATTTATTTAAGCTCTCATAAGTATAATATTAAAAGCATAATATTGAAAGTATACTATTTTTTGAAGTTAAAAGCATATTTCTTCAGCCATCAGTTTTCCAAAAAGGGTTTTTTTTAATCATTGGTCTTTAACAGGATATCCGATAGTATATAAACAAGAAAAAGTTTTTTAATTTTGCATAATTCAAATTTTAGGCTTCATTCTAGGCTCTATAGATTCTTAAATATGTTATTTGAGTGGCTTCTGAGATTCTGAAGTTTACTTACATTAGAAGTGTTTAGCACTTTTTCATAATCTTGTGTGTTCGATTGCAGTTTTGTAGTCATACTTGTATCGTTACCTTGTAATTGAATCATGGAAACAATTGCTATACTTAAATCCATGTTATGCGAAGCTGAAAGGCAGCAGGCAGTGAAGCAGAGCATTGAGAAGATATATCGTTTCGGAACGCGATAGTCTGAAAATAAATGCAAATTTATTGGTATATTAAAGTTACTTTTTCTTTACATTAAGAGATTATTGTCAGATTCTGTTAAATACTGTTTTGTTTTATTTAGGATTAATTCAATATCTAAGCTTAGTATATGGCAGGGGTGGCCAAGCTCCTTGATAGTCGAGCCATTTTTCGAAACTTGAAGTTTTTCGTGAGCCGCAATTAAATACGTATTTAAAATTTATACAAAAAAGGTATTAAATTTTTTTAAACATAGATTATATTTATTGAAAACATATAAGTAAATGAATAATATGTGTATTGAATTTAAATATTAAACACATTTATTTTACTTCTCTTGACAATTCTTTAAAATTTAGTGAATAATTGGTGACAGCACTTCTCAGTAATTCTTTTAGATGGTGGTTAGTTAATACTGATCGGTGATTGGATTTCACGAATTTTAAATAAGAATAAAATGTTCACATAAGTACGTTGTCCCGAATATTGAAATAATTCAACAAGCAGCCTTTTTTAATTCAGGATACTTCGATTCTGGTATAAATTTCCAAAATTCAGTAATCGACGTCGACTTATGTTTTAATTGTAGAGCTTGATCCTCTTGCATCTCTATTAATTCTAATTCTCCCGATGTTTGTTTGATATTGGAAAGGGAAAACTCACCTTGAATTCAACAACGTTGCAGTTAGTTTTTCATATTTGTTCTCAGTAATTTAAAAGACATTTTGATACACATACGGAACGATAATAATTTTTTTTAAATTTAATAGCACAAAAATGAAAAGGGAACTCGGGTACATTTATAGAGAGCCACAAATAATCCTTCAAAGAGCTGCATGCGGCTCTCGAGTCGCAGGTTGGCCACCCCTGGTATATGGTCCTAATTACGTGGCAAAAATAGATAAAAACAACTTTAGCATGAATCATTGTAATAGTTTTAACCCATATTAACATTGCAAAAAAAAGCATTGGAAAAAAAGGACTGAAAATTATAAGCACCAGGGAAAAAAAAACAATCAATAAAAATAAATGCCCACATGATTGCTTTGCGAAACTTACTTCTAGCAGAAAGCGATATTTTCGCGACAGTGTCAAAACTGTTTTGCATCCTGCATAATGGGATAGGAGCACCCATTTCACAACTAACAATCACCCTGAAACTCAATGTTATTTTATTTTATAACCGTCGTTGAACAGCCGACCCAATTTTTGAGTTTGCGACTACTAAGATTCAACTCCGTAGCCTTGTAATTTTGAACCCAATCCAGAAGACAAGGGAACTCCTGGATCAAGTATTGGGAGAAATTTTGCCTTCGTGGAGGACTTTTTGACGGAACTAACCCGCATTTGCGCTACATGGAGAGGAGATCACGAGAATCTCCCACGGTTAGCCTGACGGCAAAGGGGCACTAACCCATGATCCGTCTACCACTGAGGATATTTCATGTCAGCACTGTGGTTAGTGCAAGCCGGATGCGGATTCGTATCAACCAGCCCTTGTTGGGACTCGAACCCGGTTCATATCATTGGAAGATGAACACTCTATCCCCGGAAATTATCGTGGCATGTCTTCGTATCATCCTCAGGGATGTTCTCCAGACCGTCACCGATTACTCATTGTTTAGCTCTAGAGCGAAGGAAATAAAGTATTACTACTGCTGCCTGTCAAAATTGAATAATCATTGAAGACCGTACAATAAACTCATTTTTTGATAGAAACATAGCAGTAAGTTAGCAAACATCGCTATTATCGTTCACTGAATTGAAGGCGAAGTGCCTGCAGTTCAATCTGTAGCAACCCTAGCAGCAAAATAACTTGAGCCTTCATTGGATCAATATTAACGAATCTTGGCTCAATAAGGTTTCAAAGGGCCAATATTTTTTAGTTATGGGCCCTATATAGAATTGTCCGCCACATTCGATATTTTATTGCCACTTTACAAGCAATATCGGCCTTATATAGAATTGTCAGATTCATCCGATATTTTATATTCATTATTCAGCCAATATAAGTCCGATATTGACCCTATATAGGCTGATATTGACACTGCATAGGACCAATATTAAAAAATCTACATATCCCAATATTGGTTCCTCGGAGCTTGTTCATATAAGACCAAATATGGAGCCAATTTTGAGCCCAACTGGGGTCAAGGTATAATTTTTGCTAGGGAATGCTTTATGCAAAAATTTACTTTTCAAACGTATCTTTCGAATGAACTTATCGAAATTTTTAAACGATTTTTTGGACTCATAACTAAAATTGCCCCGAGCAACCGCTGTCCTCACTCCAGGACTCACTATTAGGTTTTAGAGTTATAAGAAATACACACAGACTAATTCGTCTTTCTAACATTGCAGATGTATTCATCACTAATTTATTTACACAACAAATTTTATTCCACGTATTTGCAAAAATAATTAATAATTAAATTCCGAGAGAAACTAAATATAATAATTTGTGTAAATTTGGGAAAAACTTTCTGCTCCAGACACCAATACTTAGCATGTATATTACTTGCCCTTTCTCAAAAAACCTTTGTTCAATATCTTATCTCTAACCTGTTAGAAATAAGATTTAAACCTAACCAGATGTTTAATTTTAAATCTTGAAATAAGATTAGAGGAATATTAGACTAGAACAAATCATGAGTTGAGCATGAAAACCAATATTTCTTCTTAATATCGCTCAAACAATATTTTTAAAATTATTTTCATGACTAGCAATGTGTTTTCTATAAATATCGATTATTTCATAATTATCGAGAATGATAATATCACGATCAAATTCAAAAATGATAATTATCAAATTTGATATAAAAAAAGCGATTATAATCGGTAACAAAAATATCACAATCAGATTCAAAAATGATAATTATCGAATTTGATGAAATAGCGATTATAATTGATAACGAAAATTTATCCAATACAATATTTAAGTGAATGTTGATAAATTTCATTTCAGATAATGAAAAGATTTATAACATGGAAAAATAACGATATTTCCTGAATATCACTACACCAGAACTCAGATTTCGGCCAGTGCTAGAGAAATTCGAATTTTGAACACGCTGGAATTGCAATAAAAATAACAGTTTAAAAATTCATATTCTTGTTTTCTGTTTCAAAATCTTTCCAAAATACGATCATTTGTATGAATAGAAACTTATATTTCCTCAACACGTGACCACGCGTAGGTTAGAATGGGAGATTTATTTATTATTGTTTATTCTTTTCAAGGACGTCTGAAGAATACATAAGAAAATTCTGTTTTTACACATTTCTCATTTCATGACAGTACTTTATTATTATTTGTTTTATTTTTATTTTACTATTATTTCACAACAATAATTATTTCTTTAACAGTAACGTAATCAATTAAAGAAAATTTTATGGTTAATTTTAATTCACAAAACACGGAGAAAAAAGTTAATTAAATAGTCTGAAGTCATTAAACAGTCATTAACAATTAATTAACAGTTCCACTGTAAATTAATTGTTAATTTAAAAATATTAATTGCTACTGTAACCAAATTACCACCTTAAATTTAGGATTTTTTTCCCTTGTTTGAAATTTTTAAACTGAATCGAGATTTAAAATAAACTACTTATAAATTTATTTTGGTGAATACAACTCACTCTTTTAACATGTTTCTCGCAGTAAATAATAATAATAATGTAATAATAATAATAATAATAATAATATAGTTTTTTTTCTAGTGATTAATGTTTTGATAAAAGAAAAAAGGAAAAATTTGAAAGTTTTGAGGTTCATTTTTAATTAAATTAAATACAGCTGTCTCTTGCTGCTATTTATTCGATAGTTCATGAATATCTCTTAACTAAGCATATTTTGAATTAAATAGGCTTCTTTAAAAAAAAAATTCACAAATATTTCTTAAAATACATAAGTGTTTTCCAACAAATTGACGCTCATTTTTTTTAATATGAAATAAGTTTTAAATGATTTCCGCTTTTCAAAAAATATATAAAAAATTCTCAAATTGTTAGGCTCCCCTTAGGTTAGTGATGTTATATATCTTGAACATTGCATGTTTGAGATTAGACAAGCTTTTTTTTCTCCTTTTTTTAAAAAGAAAAAGATTTATAATTATTTTTTGACGTGTATGGTTTTTTCCTAACACACTGACACGAATTTTTTTATTATAAATGAAGTTTCAAATGATTTCGCATTGCAAAAAACCCCAAAAAAATTCGCAATTCGTCCTCCCTAATAACAGCAATATATATATGCTTTGAAGTTAGTACATGTTGAATTAAACAGAAATTTTTTTTTAAAAATTTCTATAAA